GCGTAAAAAAGGATATTTACTTTCTCTTACAGAATTCATGGTACTTTCTAAATAGCCGACTGCAAACAGGGGAAATCCACAGGTCACGGGACAGTTTAATATTTCAGGGGCTGGTAGATTAAGTATAGTTTAGTAATTTGGCATTTCAATTGCCACGCAGTTTTGTTCTGTGCAGTTTTCACTTTTCTGTGCTTGTGTTCTGTGTGCTCGCCGGAAGAAACGCGCGAAAGCCTTAGAAGAAACACAGAAAGCCGGAAAACGCAGGCTTACCACCCTTTAAAATAACTGGACTGTCCCGTGACGTCATTTGTGGTCGGCTATTGGGAAGGACTAAATTCATAAATCATAAACAGCCAGCAAATGCTGGGATTGGTTTTGCTACGTCCTGTAAAGAATATTCGACTAAATTAGGAAAAGATACATCCAGCTTGAGTTTATAATTACCGTGCTTTCTTTTAAAGTTGCCCGACTTCCGACAATGTATCCAGTTTTATAAGAAAGCGCCCCTGGAACTACATTGGCCATGCACAGAGAATGGATAAGACAAGACTTTCCCATCCACATCTCATATGGACACAGGAAGGGAAAAGACAACAGGGAAGACCAAGAGAGACTCTAGGTAGAACCATGAGGGGAGGCTCAGTCATGGGCCTAACAAATATCCAAGACCTGAAGCAGGTGGCAAAGAACCGCCAGACAGGGAGAGCTATGATCTCTGCCCTATGCGCAGCCCTCGGCTGAAGAGGAAAGACCAACTTCCATTACTTGAGCGAACTGTGAGTAACTAGACGATCTTCACTGTCATACATCTAGTGTATGTGCTATACTTTGATTCAGTAAGATTAACTAGACGATCTTCACTGTCATACATCTAGTGTATGTGCTATACTTTGATTCAGTAAGAGTAACTAAACGATCTTCACTGTCATATATCTAGTTTAACTTTGATTCAGTAAGATGAAGAGCGAGGAGGGGAACCCGCTACTTTATCTCTAAAGTCAGTGACCTAGTATATATGCGGTATTACACGTGCCAGCGATAATATCGTCTAAGGGATGGTTTTGTAGTTCAGGCGTAAACTAGCAGTTAGCACAGGAAGTCCACATTAAACACCTGGCTGTATGGAGCTCATTAACAGTCAGGAAGCTGTTTTCCAACTATATATATATATATAAAGTCTGTTTAAATTCGCCAAATAAGCTTCATATTAACCATGTGGAGGCTTATGATTAGCTAAGACGTCTTCCTTATATGATTAGATCCCGGCAGGTTTACAGCCTTCTCTCGACCAACAGGCTATACGTTCTTCTCATTCTCGCCAATACATGAAGGACTACAGGTTATCTTAAATATAACCGCACTAGACCGTTGAACAAGTTTAGGAAGAACACAATCAACAACAGGCAAGGGAACGAGCTGCCTGACCCGAAAGAAGGAAGCATTACGTCCAGAGACAGCGCAAATACTAGAAGTTTAGTCACGAAAGTGGCGCAAATAAACCAGACCACAAATATAGACGGAGACTGTTAGTGGCCTCGACTAGCTAACAGCAGTCTAAAAGTGGTCGAACTTATGATTTCTTTTTCCAAAAGGAATCGGAATCGGAACTGAATTTCCGTAATTTGTAACTGTTGGATTCTCTTCCTTGAGATGTTAATCCTACGGAATGCAAACACAAATCTGAAGGTATAAACTCAAAAGCTGATAAATTGATCTCTAAGACACATTGGATCAGTCCGTCATTCCTTTGTTCTGTCTGCATGTACGTACACATCTGTCCATCAGTTAATCAGGTCCCCGTGTAGGTTCCGGGGCCCTATTATAGAGAAAACAAGAATAAACCCACTGCCTACCCAAAAGCATGTTGTAAGAATCGACTAATTGGGAGCTTCCTTCGAAGTCGGAGTGCATCTGCCTGGGAGGCAAGAATCCAGCAGTCTGCATACATATGGGTCAGATCTATAAAACGGATGAACACGCAACACTCAGGTTCTGGAATAGGACTGCAGTCCAAAAGTGGACCAACAACCAGAACTTTCCGCCAGAGTTTACAGCTGGTGAACACGAAGAAGAACTAATTAATCAGGATTTGCTGTCCGATCCACCGGGCCAATCCTAGGCTGTGTAGGGGAGATATAACTACATGAACAGGGTCCCATTCTGGAGAAAACAAGAATAGACCCACTGATTTCCAAAAAGAATGTCGTATGAGTCGACTAATTGGGGGATTTCTTTGAGAGACAAGGAACCAACACTCTGCATACACGTAAACCAGATTTGTGAACGGATGTGCACGCGGCACTCAGGTTCTACACATTAACCATATGTCAATACGAAATTTTGTAGCTGCTGTTGTAGCCCAATAATGCTACTTGATTTTACTGTTATTGTGGTGTGTGTGTGTGTGTATATATATATATATATATATATATATATATATATATATATATATATATATATATATATATATATATATTTATATATATATATATGTGCGTGTGTGTATATATATATATGTGTGTGTATATATATATATGTGCGTGTGTGTGTATATATATATATATATATATATATATGCGTGTGTGTGTGAGTGAGTGTGTGTGTGTGTATATACGGATATATGATATGTTATCACAATCGACGCCACTGCACATTGGGCATTCCTATCGGTGTCAGTACTCTGATCAAACGTGCTTCTGCGCATTATTCCCAAGAGACAGTTGGTTACAGTGACTCCTGTCTTAAACACACAGACGTGTTGGAACGAGAAAAGTTATGTTGGAAGCTGCTTAGTCTTTTGTAAAATTATGGGAAAAGGGGGTGTGGCACATTTGTATTAGCCCAAGTTCAGGTGGCTTGATGCTTCGAGTTCAACTCCCCCTTCACCGCGCCGGGTGACAGACCCCAGCTTCTTTCTTCTTCTTCGATCCTTCTGTCAGAAAACTTATATCAGGAGGCCGGTAGCCTTTATGAAAGCTATCGTGCAATTCATATCCTCTCGTGTACCATACAGTTTTGTCTTCAGTGTGGTTGGAACAGGCCAGATTGCGTCTCTGTTGTCAGCATACAGTTGACAGTGTTGGAGCACATGCTCAGCATTTTCGGGTGCCACGCTGCAGGGACACGTCTCCGTATTTCCTACACCAAAAATTTTGAACATATGTTGACGAAATCTGTTGTGCCCTGTCCTTGGTCTGAATATAATACACTGTCCCTCTCTAGAGAGGCGATGAAGTGAGTCTTGGGGAGAAAATCTGGTGTGGGTATCCAGCCACCTTTCTTGGATACTAGCTTGTATTAGTGTTTTCATCTCTTGGTGGGTTAAGTCGCTATTTGGTTGTACCATGTCACTGCCGCTTCTGGCCAATCTGTCCCCTATTTCATTGCCTTCCAAGCCACAGTGACCTGGAATCCACTGCAGTACAGATTGTTCTACTGAAGAGGACCCCAGCAATATCGCACATTTATTCACAAATATAATCATCATCATCATCAGCTTTATTATCATTCAAAAGAAAGTTTGCGGGCGTTGAGTGCGACAATGAGAGCCCCGGTCTGTCCTTGCACGACCACACGCTGGTACTCTCCTTCCACGTGGTGTTAAACAGCGAGACATCAGCTCTGATGTCATGTGTCGTCAATGGCCTGTGACTGCATTGTTAAACACATCAACGACTGTCATGTATTGCACTCGGACTTAACGATGACCACTAGACCGGGCCTCATGAATATTTGCCCGTGCGATTCCAGTTAGCATCATGCAAATTTACGCACCAGCAGATTGAATGGGCAAGCAGGGACACGACATCTTTCCTCCGTGCTTGAACCCATCCATGTGATCAGTCATCGATTGTTGGTTCGTTACGGCGGCTGCAGACGAGGAAGCGGGGGAAGGGTGGAAAGCGTTTCTTTTGGCGGCCGACTGAAGCATCAATAGCACTGCTGGCACCAAAGCCACGTTGTTGTGCAGGGTATGATAATTACTTTGACGAGCAGCGGGAGTACCCGCCCTGTCACGAGGCTAATGTCCCGGATTGCCCTTCCTCTGTGAATGTGTGGCGTCAGTGATTGGCCCGATTCGCGCCTGACCTCCGCTACTCACCGCAGCTAGCGGGCGTCGAGAACAACCGGCTGTACTGACTAGCAAGGCCCGGTGACTGGCGAGTGCCTGGCGCAGCCAATGGGCTGAGTGCAACGTGCGTTACTTGGGAAAAGATCCCCCTCTCCCGCAAAGTCGTTAGGGGCCACGACCAGGCCCCACTAATTGTCAGTCCTCGGTTTCTGGCAGGAAACCTCTGACACTGTTCGCCCTTATAAGGTTTGCTGGAGCCAGTGCCACACTACTCCTCTTACTGGTGGTGTCGAGGTTCACAACCCGTTATTAGACTTCCTAACTACACTAACTCGTGAAATCTACGGCGTTATGTAACAAACAGCGGGACCACTCGTACACTTTAGTATCGTCCCGACTCAAGTGGCGCTATCAACTGTGCTTTTCCTGTTCGCGGTTCAGGGCCGTTATATTTCTCGTCTATACCCCGGAAGAACTTGCCCAGGTTCAGTTTGAAGCTTGACTCTTGATACCAATGACGGGCCGAGGAGTGGAAATAAACAGCGCCGCCCCGGGGTCAGTAACGTAACACTGTAGCAGCACACGTGGGATTAGCTACTGATAAAAGAGTTCGAAGTGCAGGTACATCGTGCGAGTTGCTGCTTGTAAACACTGTTCTGCTTGAATTCGGGCGGTACGTAGCGCGTTTGTGACGATAACTTTGTGACAGGCACTTCATAGTGGTAACAATGCGGTTTTGTGCAGCTGTGTGTGTATTAGAGATTCTGTGACATAAACTGGCGTGTTATAATTTTGTTACGTGCTTTGGCGTGCAACTGTGTCGGTGATTTAATTTAATTAGTTATTTTGTGGATAGTTTGGCAAGCTTTGTACTAGGGCTGGTCTTTGATTGACTTGGGTTTCTATGGCTGTTAGTATTGTTAGAAGTATGGACATGCCTCCTACACAGCCAGCAGCAATTATTCCTTGGAGAGAGCCACCAGATGATATGGTAGGACATTTGCCCCCAACAGCGGCAAGTCAACCTGGAGTTAACTCTTCAGTGACTCCGACATCATGCACCACCATCATCTCTGTCGATCCCGTTCCTCCGGGGTCTCCCCCCAGAGGCAACCATCATAACGGGGGTACGCCCAATTCTAACATGTCTGAGAACAATAACAACAAACAACAAATTGAGTGTGTTGTCTGCGGGGACAAAAGCTCGGGAAAACACTACGGACAGTTCACCTGTGAGGGGTGCAAAAGTTTCTTTAAGCGCAGCGTTAGAAGGAACTTGACCTACACCTGCCGAGGCAGTCGAAACTGCCCAATTGACCAGCACCATCGCAATCAGTGCCAGTATTGTCGACTGAAAAAATGCCTCAAGTCCGGCATGCGGAGGGAAGGTAGGTGGGAGACAGGTCAGTGTGGGTATCCTGTGACTACTTTGTTAGTTCACTCACACATTTGTTTGTGTTTGCCTTGCTGACTCATTCACAAACTTTTCTTCCACACGCACTGAATAAAAACCAATTCGTGCGTACCCACTCACACGATTTATCGTGTTTAACTTGCAGATTCAGTCACAAACTCTTGTTCCACACGTATTAGATTAATACATACTTCATGCTTATTCATTCATTCACACATTTTTTCGTGTTTAACTTGCAGATTCCTTCACAAACTCTTGTTGCAAGCGCAGTAAATTAATTAATACTTCACGCTTATTCATTCATTCCCACAATTGTTCATGTCTGACTGGCAGATTCATTCCCACATTTGTTCATGTCTTACGTGCAGATTCATTCCACACTTGTTCATGTTTAACTTGCAGATTCATTGCTACATTTGTTCATGTTTAACTTGCAGATTCATTCCCACACTTGTTCATGTTTAACATGCAGATTCATTCCCACATTTGTTCATGTCTGACTTGCAGATTCATCCCCATATTTGTTCATGTTAAACTCGCACATTCATTCCACAACATTTCATGTTTAACTTGCAGATTCATTCACACATTTGTTAATGTTTAACTTGCAGATTCATTCCCACATTTGTTCATTTTTAACTTGCAGATTCATTCCCACATTTGTTCATGTTTAACTTGCAGATTCATTCCCACATATGTTTGTGTTTAACTTGCAGATTCATTCACCAACTTGTTCCACACATCAGGAATTAATTACAAATCCACGATGACTCACTCATCCATATATCCTGCCTACTTTGTAGACTCCTTCAAAGACTCACGACCAAAATGTACTGAGTTTTTTATGACTTCATGCTTACCCACACACATACATACCGTGCCTAACCTTTGACACATTGGCTAAGTCTGGTCGCATATCTATCGAATTAAATACGAAGCCCTTCCTACTCGCTCATTCAAGTAGCGAGCCCATTTTGCTGGCTCATTCTCAAACCTTTATTGTGCATACATTGAAATAATTACTTCTTTTTCTTTCACAAACATCTCATGCTTACTCTCTCACTGATGTGTAGCGGCTACTTTGCTAGCTCACTCACTCACAAACTCTTATCCTGTTTATGGCACTCTGGGATCAAATGGATAGTGCCCCCGCGTGGATTCCGGGGCCCTGTTGTAGGGGAAAACAAGAATAGATCCACTGCCTACCCAAAAGCATGTCGTAAGAGTCAACTAATTGGGAACTTCCTTCAAAGCCGGAGTGCATCTGCCTGAGAGGCAAGGAACCAGCAGTCTGCATACAAATAAGTCAGATCTGTGAAACGGATGCACGCGCAACACTCGGGTTCTGGAACAGGACTGCAGTCTAGAAGTGGATGAACAACTAGAACTTTCCGCCAGAGTGTACAGCTGGTGAACGCGAAGAAAAGAAGAAATGGAGAGTGCAATAGAACAGACAGAGAACTGATACATTGAAAGACTATGATACATTGAAAGACTATGATACAATGAAAGACTATGATACATTGAAAGATTATGATACATTGAAAGACTATGATACAATGAAAAACAATGATACATTGAAAAGACTATGCTACATTGAAAGACTATGATACATTGAAAGATTATGATACATTGAAAGACTATGATACAATGAAAAACTATGATACATTGAAAGACTATGCTACATTGAAAGACTATTTCACCACGTGGTGAATAGAGGTTCTAGACTAGGGCTATTCAACTAAGTTGACTCAGCGGCCAACATTTTGAAAATAGGCATCGTCAAGGGCCAAAAGTCTGAGCCCAAGCATAGAAATATCAATAATACAATACAAGTTTCGCTGATCCGCGGGCCACTTGTTAGGTCTCCGCGGGGATAGACACTGCCTCCCTATCAAGTATAAGTCAAGTTTATATATCGCCAGTTCGTTTTACTTCATTAGTTCACTAATACACTATATTACTCGACTAGTTCACGAACACCCTGTTTTATTACTCCATTAGTTTTCTAATACAATGTATTAATGCTCGAGTAATTCACGAATCCACACTCTATTATTGCTCGATTAGTTCGCTAACACATTACATTACTACTCGATTAATTCACTTACACACTGTATTACAACTGGATTAGTTAACTAGCACACCGTACTACTACTCGATTGATTTATTAACGCATTGTGTTACTGTTCAGTTAGTTCACCAACGAACAGTATTACTTAGTAGTCGATTAGTTCACTAACACTCTGTGTTATTACTCGATATTTTTTCACTAACGCACTATATTACTGCTCGATTAGTTCACTGATAGGCTAATTTCTACTCGATCAGTTCACCACGCTTATTTCTACCGGATTAGTTCACTAACACGCTATATTGCTGCTCATTTCACTAACATGATGTATTAGTAGTGGACTAGTTGCTAAAACACTGTATCTTTACTTGATTAGTTCACCAACACTATATATTACTGCTGGATTCGTTCAGTAACACACTGTATTGATTAGTTCCTCAACACTCTGTATTACTACTTTATTAGTTCACACAGGCTGTATTACTACCGGGTTAGTTCCCTAAACATTTAATTAGGTGGTCTGCGTCTGTGACATGGCTGTTGCAAACGCGATTCGTAATTCCGATATTCCCGGTTTTATTTAATCTACAGACGATTTGGCAGCAGGCAGCGTTGCGTTGATGTCGACAATGGCGTAGAGATCCGACCTTTAGTAAGCAGCGGCAAACTGCTGGACGTAAAAGTTACGCATTGAAATCACATACTTTCACAAAATGCTGAAAAAAAAAAGGATACGAACCTAACTTAGTTCAGAAACAATATATGCTATTGTCTTCTGAGAAGTGCACTAACATGGGTTTTATAGCTTTTGGCTTCGTCGTTTTTAGCTAATGCTTTGATAGCTGGCATCGGCGATCATGCCTCTCCACAGACTGTGATCTTCAACAGCATACATCAGTTCGTGTTTTCTTCTTCTTCTTCGCGTTCACCAGCTGTACACTCTGGCGGAAAGTTCTGGTTGCTTGTCCACTACTGAACTGCAGTCCTGCTCCAGAACCTGAGTGTTGCGTGTGCATCAGTTTTACAGATCTCATTCTCTTGAATATAGACTGTTGGTTCCTTGCCTTTCTGGCAGATGCACTCCGACTTTAAAGGAAGCTCCCTAATTAGTCGACTCTTACGACATGCTTTTGGGAAGGCAGTGGGTCTATTCTTGTATTCCCCATAATGGGGCCCCGGAACCCACACGGGGGAGTTCGTGTTTTGACAACCCTTCGTGCAATGACAGTTGGCTGTCAAGAATCTTTCTCTGTCCCTCAACCCCCCCCCCCTTTTTCCCCACCAACCCCCCCCCCCACACCCCCACCAATTTTCCCTCTATTCAGTGGCCACAGCATGTTCGCTTACTTTTTTCTAATATCATAAACAACAGATGATGACCTGTCTCTTTCTAATATTTGTGATAATTTGTCTTTGAGCCTTCGTCTCCTTCAAAACATCTGGGTTGCTCTTTTTTGGCTGTTCGTGAAATTCTGCGGATTCTTCTGTAAAACCACAGCTTCGAAGCCACAAGAAGTTATTTGGCTTTACTAATTGTCCAGGATTCACAACCATGTGTTAAATCTGGATCTATGTAGACTTTGGGATTATGGATTATTGCATAATACGTTCTTCATTTTTGGGAAATGCTGTTTTTGCCTGCCATTTTCTGTTCTTTATCTCTGTGATACATCTTTCGTGGAATGTTTTCCATGTGCATATACACTTACAGTACTTCTCGTCCTTTTTAGGATGAAAGTTTTTCTTTATTTAAAGCCCTACTCTGGCTTTTGCCAGGGGCCGCAATATAGCCTAGCCATAAATATGGCATATAGGCTGAACGCTGTTTCTGGGACCTCTCCACGGTGATCCTCGTCCACATGGTGGCACATTGTGTCATCGGGTGTTTATAGCTTGTGTGATGTCCTGGTGGGGTAGAAAGATCAGTCAATTAGTCCATGTACATAGTTACTTAAAGCTTTTGGCTTAGTTCACTTAACACCTGTTATCAGTTGGAAGTTTCGCTTCAAGACACTGTCTTGGCTGTACATGCCAGGGTGAAAGGAAGAGCCTACAGACTGACCGTGTCTGCTGTGGTTAGTGAAGGAAGAGGTCTGGACAGGGCAGACTCGCTGAATGCGCTGTGTTCCAGAGTCACAGAGACAAATTTCCGAGGCGAATACTCGCCTGCAGGGAACTAGTGTTAAACGTGGACAAGCATGCAGAAAGCATACAAGGACTAACACAGACGATCGGCTAATGAGCTCCTACTGGATATGTGAGCATGAAGACACTGGGATGGTGGTTGCATTAGTGGACAGAGCTCGGATGGATCTAGGATGTGTTAGGATGTCCACCAGGATGAGAAGTAACATCCCATTGCTTCATGATTAGTTCATTAAGACACCTTATTGTTTTTGACTAAGTTCGCTTATTGACGCTTTATTTTGTATAGGCAGTTAACTCATTACGTCGGCTCTGTGGCTAAGTCGATACAAATGCTTTTCAATACCGGGATCCCGGGTTCGATTCCAGCTGCGGGTCATGCGCTTTGCGTTGGTTTAGATAGTGGTATAAAGAAAGCCGACCGTCCAGAGGCAATGGCAAACTACTCGACGTAAATTTGCCTAGAAAAACCACACAACAGCCAGGAGCTGTTGGGGTTGGTTCTTCAACGTCCTGTAAAGGATACACAAAAACCTTACTAATTACATGTCCTTTATTGCTACTGGACTAGTTTCCTTAGACACATACAATTAGTTCCCTAACACACATTTTATCACATCTCCCACAGTTACATGACGTAAGCATCGATCTGTACAAATGTTGGGTTAAGGATTAGTTTTAATTTATTTCGACTTCCACAAATATAATAGAACTGTCATAGCTGGGACATTTGTGGAGGTCAAAGGTAAGTAAAACTGATACCAAACCTA